TGACCACATGGCCTGGCAGACCTCTCCTGACCTGCCCGCTGCTCCCCTCAGCAGTGTACTTCATAGATCTGCCTGTTCTGCTACCCACTCTGTCTCTGATGAAGCCTTTCGCCACCCCTGAGCTTCTGGCCTGTACCCCAGTTCTGTATGAACAAATAAATAAATATAAAAAAAAAAAACAACCAGAAACGAAATGAGCATGAAGCCATGCACCTGGCATATATACTAGTTATAATGCAATATCTACATATCTCAAGGACACTGCCAATGTTGTAGCTCTCTGAATAAAATCCTTTTCTCCCACACCAAAATCCTTTCCTTGAGATTCATATAAGCTAGTTACAGCACTATTAATGACTATTTTAAGAAGACACAACTACAAATCTCTCTTCCCATTCGTAACAGGAGAACAAATGAAAAAATTATAAAGTAAGATGATTTTTAAGTGCTAAAAACTGCCATATACAAAATGCAAAAGAGAAACAAAATGCTCTTTAGCCCAACACATGAGAGAGAATTAAATTTATTAGATGTCAGACCCTAAAATTAGCCCAACACATGAGAGAGAATTAAATTTTTTATTAGATGTCAGGCCCTAAAATTCATGATGACCATAAACCTCAATGAAAGAACAAACGGTGAAAGTGCTAGTTGGGAAGCGATCGAAAAGTGAAACTCTTATTTTCACAAAGGCTGTAAGTAAGAGTTAGAAAAAGGAGTTGGCTTTTTTAGGAGAGATTACCATAGCAAGTTAAAAGATGGAGCAGAAAAAAGCCAACCTCAGGAAGAAAACATTGTAATCTGCCTAATTCAGCTGTCCAAAAACACATATTTGAAACACAAAAAATGGCAGACCACCATCAACCATAAGGTGGACTACTTTTACTTTCACTGGAAATAGGCTATACTTTTTCCTTGCAAAAGGTCTTTTATCATTCCTTCCATTTAAATAAAAAAGTAGATGAATCTAAGAAAATTAAAGTACATTTTATTAAAGTAAGACAATGAGAAAAATCAGTTTTGCCTTATTCCACCTTTACCCACTGTTCCTATCATAAACAATTATGAATAACATTAATTATTTCCATTGCCTTTGCCCAATGCTCCTATTAGTGAGTTTTCTCTCTGGTTATTTCTGTAAAGTAAAAATTTGCGGCCCTCCCTGGTGGCGCAGCGGGTTAAAGCACAGCACTGAGAATCTGAAGCCACTTCCGCATGAGTTCGATTTCCGCCTGCCTCCTGCCCGAAGGAGACCACATGGCGAGCCAGACCTCTCCTGACCCGCCCGCTGCTTCCCTCAGCAGTGTACTTCGTAGATCTGCCTGTTCTGCTCCCCACTCTGTCTCTGGTGAAGCTTCTCACCGCCCCTGAGCCTCTGGCCTGTACCCCAGTTCTGTATGCACAAATAAATAAATCTTTAAAAAAAAAAAAAATTTGCAAAAATATTTTTATTTGTAACTTTGACCATATTAGATTTGCGTTCATTATTTCTACCAATAACACAGACATTAATTTGATAACCATGAGTATTTTCATTAGAAAACTGAAAATTTAAAATCTATATTAAAGTTACAAGCAATTACCTTTAGGTATTCCAGGATAGCTATATATTCCTAATAGAAATCTTCTACGTATTTTCTTTTTTTTTTGCATAGAAAAACTGGGGTGTGGGCCAGAAGTATGGGGGTGAGAGCATTCACTAGAAACAGAGTCGGAGGCAGAACAAGCGGATTTACAGAAATGCACTACTAAGGGAGCACTGGGTGAGACAGGAGAGGTCTCCTGCATCACATGTGGGTTAGCTCCATGGCCCTAGTGGTGACAGTGCTTATACTTAACCTGTAGACCACCAGGGATGCCTAATGCTTCCATGTATTTTCAATCACTTTGCATGATTTGCTAACAGTACTCACAGCTGTGAAAGACAGGGTGGTTAAAACACAGGGGTCAAAGCAGCAGGATTTTAGTGTAGGAGTTCAATGGTGAACATATTTATAGCTGTGGTTCAAACATAATTTTAATAAATGCTGGAAAGTTATTTTCTAATATTCTAGATATACCTTCCCAATATTCCACATATACTGCTTTCATCATGAAGTATTTAATGAGAAATACACTTTTCCCCAAATGTTTAAAATATAAAACATTAAAATCCAAAAGTTGATGTGTATTAAATAATTTCTATCTTTGTAAAGTGAAGCCAAGTGCTACATAAACTAGGGTGATATATAATAAATATAGTTCTTGGTAGTTTAAACACAGGACAAAATAGTTGTATCTTAGGTAGTCTTTAAAGTAGTAGTAATCAGCCATCCCACTCCTAGGTATCTACCCAAAAGACACAAAAACACTGATTGAAAAAGATACTTGTACCCCCATGTTCATTGCTGCTTTATTTACAATTGGAAAAACATGGAAGCAGCCCAAATACCCAAAAGTAGATGACTGGATTAGAAAGATGTGGTACAA